AAACGATGAACTTTGGATCTGATGACTATAAATATATATTTATGTAGTGACAAAATTTTATTAGATGTTATTATATGCATTGTTCTCTGCCATCTTCACAATCTCTAATAAAATGTTTCATATTTATTACTATAGTTTGAGGTGATTGTACTTAAATTTGTAGACATGTTGACTTCTAAGAGTTGTTCCATCCCGCCCCCCAGAAAAAATAAAGAAAATTAAAATTAAAAACACTATTCCAAATTGCTGTAGTTGAAAGATTAAAAGGTTACATTTGGAAATTCATTTTCTGACAGGGTGTCAGCTGACAGTTTTAATTTATTCAGAAATCTAAAAGAAAATATCTCTAGAAAATTGCCAAATTATAATTGTTACATTCAAAACAGCTTTCAATGAGAAATATGTTTAAATTTTGATAATAAGCTCATTCTAAAGTAAAGAATAAAATATCTCTTAGCCAAGTTTTCGTTGTGCTTAACTGTTTTAATATTCCTAAACTAAAAAGGAACTAAAAGGAACTAAAGGAAAAACTAAAAAGAAATAAAATAAAATTCAAGTGTTTCTAATTAAAAAGTTAATAGTTTTAATAATGAAACATAATTATATTTAATCTCAGCCATATTACCTTAAAAATAGCATGTGAGAAACTCCACAATGATATTTTTCATTTTCACATACGAGCCCACCAGCGGCCGAGCGGTAAAGACGCTGAACACTGGTAGTTCGGTCTGAGGTTCGAATACCGCGAACGGGCTGGCTGCATGGGCGTTTTCGTGGTTTTCCCCATGTGTAACGTGTATACGAGCCAGTTTCCCTTAGAAAGTCCTCCACAAAAGGCATCCCTCCCCTTAGGCAGATAGCCCTCGAGGCTTTGCCATAATTAAATACACCATTTTCACATACACATACCAAAGTTAAATAAGTAAATAAATAGTAAAATGCAATTTCGAATTTATCATCGAAACGTTATAGCTAATCACTTAATCAGAGAGTAGAAAGTTTGCTTTCAACCTAATAAATTAAACAAAGAAAGAAGGGATAAAATATACAAACAGACATTAGAATTCAGATCTGAATACTCCATTTATTATAATTAAAATTATAAATATATAAAAATAATTAAAAAAGCATAAGTCCCTTTTGATTATGCGCGCTTTTATCAGTGTGGGCTTTTATCAATGTGCGCTTTCATCGGTGTGGGTATTAGACGCATGGGCAATTATCCCAGTGAGGTCTTTTTCGTGGGCTTCTGTCGCGTGCGCTTTCGTCCAGTGGTCTTTTGTCTGGTCACCGTTTAAGACTTCTCAGCATGTGCGATACTGCTTCTTGCTTTGATTTACGCATTCAATAGAGATGTCGCCCAGTGAACACGTCTAAGATTTCGTAGGCTAAAAACTTGCTTAACACATTCGTCCCGCGGCCAATACTGATCAACTCATGGTTTGGGTTTATTTAAATTAGCTATGACAAAGCACTCGGGAGCTATCTGTCTAAGGGGAGGGATGCCTTTGTGGAGTACTCTTAAAGGAAACTGGTGCATATACACGTTACAAATAGAAAAAATCACGAAAACGAGCATGCAGCCGGGCCTTCGCCGAGATGCGAACCCTCGACAGAACTTCCAGTGTTCAGCGACTTTACCGCTCGGCCGCTGCTTGGCTCGTCCTGGGGACTTGGATAGTTGACAGTTGAGACTTGAGAGCAGACTCTGGACACCCGTGCGGCTTACTTAGACTATTCGGGTCTAGTCCAGGTTCAGCAACTATCCGGGGCAACACCTCATGGGCCCTATAAGGGCATACATTGATTCTGTATACATGCTTACATAGTTCATAATATATGCTTACATAGTTACATAGTTCATAGTACATGCTTATATACAAATAGTTCATAATACATAGATCTTTCATAATACGTGAGACGCAATAAGGACTACTGTTCTTCAAGTACGCATTAAAAATCAGTTTGATTCAATTCTACTTCGAAATCTTATTGGAGCGCATGGCGTCAAATCCTGATTTTCGGCATTTAATATTATGGTACAGCTATGAAAATATAATATTTTTTTTATATCGCTATCGGTCGTAAGTTGAATAAATCTCAATCAATTCCGATGAATGCTTCATGGTGTTGGAGTTTTTAAGAGCAGGAGTAAATTTCTATATTTTATTTCATATGGTATAAAATTTTTGTAAGGAACTCGTTGCACTTAAAATTAAAAAAAAATATATTATTTGATTCGAAGCATTTTATTAGAAACTAGTTTTGATCAATTTCCAGCTTTATCTTTGCTAATTTGTAAGTTTATAATTTTCAGTATTGATATCAAATTTTATGTGTTTCGAAAACATTTAGGAAGCTTTCCGATTGCTTTATGAATGAAACAACGATTCTGAAAAAAGAAAATTCACAAATTGACTATGGTGCTTTAAGCAGAACTTCTGCATGTAAATAAAACATTTAACTGTAAAAGTTTAACAAATGAAACTTCAGATCCAAAATATATCATTTTCATTTGTTGTACAATTTTTTAAAATTTGGTTGAAGAGGGAACTGAATAAGAATGTTTCTATGAATCAGTTACTCTAAAAGCAACCTTCATGGGATAATTTAAATTTAAATTTATGTGCGAAGCTCATTTTATTGTTAGAGTTGCGGTTTGTAGGGTTTGGTTATGAATCGTTGAAATTCAAATCTCTTACAGAGGTCACAGTTAACCTGATATCTGACGCTCATTGCTTCTTTGTAGTTGGCCTACAGTTTATAGTTCCGTTATCTGATACTGGTTATTCATAGCCTGTAACCAGCTATGTAATCATGTTATATGCTATCATGTAAATATGGAGAATATTTTGCGTTGTTATTCGTATCAGTCCTTCGAACAACCAAACCCTCCATTCGGAAAGCCGTTTACCTATAGGGTCCACCCATACTGGGACACTATCGAACTCAGTGATCACACTTCTGAAACTATGTTCTTCCTTAAACTTCCTGATTATTTTACCTCATGTGAAGGGGACTACAAGAAGGACTGCAACTCTCGGAACATCTGTAATCACGCGCTTACCATTTAGAAGTGTACAGATTAATTCCGAACTTATTCTTTCATCATTTATACGCTATAACGTTACAGTTCCAGAATTTGAACATGGATCAGCATACTGCTGACCACTTGTGACCAACTAAATTAATAGAAAATAAGAATATAAAATGCACATTAAATTAAAATAGTTAACGACTGGCTCCTTGGTTTAACTAAACGCTAAATCGGCTGCACACAGCGAAGACGAGCTTGGAAATATCGGTATAAACTGAAAGGTGTCGCAGCATAAACTGGGAATTAACTCTGCTATTACTCCTCACGACTTCTTGAAACGCAGCTTAAATACTGCTTCTGAAACACGTTTAGATTAGCATAATACGTCATTTAAGATTTACATTCCGGCAGGAAATAGAAATCTGGAGCGAAAGGAAAGTAAAACTAAAAATAATTGGTTAGAAGAAAATAAAGTCCCTACACACTTATGAAAAATAGATGAAGTAAAGTATTGAGATTTTAGTTTGGTTCCTGTTAGTGAAAGATGAAAAGAATTCTAGTAATTTAAGCTCTTAGCGATTTAAAGTCACGTAAAGACGATGCCGAAATTACTCCCAAAGTAATAAAAGTTCAAAATACGCTGGATGTACGAATGAAATAAAAGAATAGAGAAATTAAGATTTGGGTTTGAAATCCAAGAAAGAACATTTTCTATACAACTCTGTGGTTTGCCATTAAATCAAAAGTATTATAAAGACAAACAAAAATGCTTCGGTTATTATTGTAGCAGTAGATACTAATTCAGCACAGAAAACAGAATTGAATACTTTTAATATGATAGAAGAATAGAAGAAACTTACCTTAAATTATTCATCATATTTATGAAAATTAAAAAACTAGTGAACTGTTTTAAACCATCATATATGATTAATAAACATATCAATATACCCTAAACATAATAGCCAAGAATGCTATAATAATATTACTTGTTTCTTGTAACAAAGAAACTATATAAGATATTTCTCCCATCTTCCTAGCGTGCCTTCGGGGTGTAACGGTAGCACACTGGGCCGGTATTCCAGAGGTCCGTGGTTCGATTCCCGGCGAAGGCGATTGCTCGTTTTTCATCTTGCCTGCTTCCAAAAAGTACCTAATGTCTCCACAACTATAAATATTTACTTGCATTAAAAATTGCATCCGAAAAATAATAAAACTACACATAGAATTAGCTGAATATTTTTAATTCAAGTTTTTTTTTTTCTGAATTTTACATTAATGTTTTCTTTTCAGACAAATGGATTTCATTTCTCCTAGTTACAAGGCGAATGTTTTTAGTGTTCCTTTCTAAAGAGAAAACATTTACTTACTATTTAGAGATAGTTCAAACTTTTACTATACTAACTAACCATCTCGCATTATAATGGTACAATCGCTAAAAGTAAGTAATAATATGTCGTTATTTCGATTTGAATATGAAAATTGTCAAGTTGTTTTGTTTCTAATCAATTTTCGATTGACTAGTGTAAATAATAATAATACAAAAAATTATTTCATTTAGTGTTTATGAAACTTTTGTGATGGAAATCATGAAAGGTTTTTAACGGAATATCTCATATTAGCCATATATTAACTTATTTATAACCTAACTTTATTTCTCATCGCATAAAACGAGTACTTTTCTTTGCGAGGTAGCTTTTTCTTGAAGAGGCATAATAGTGGAATAAATCGTTTGACTAAAGCCATTAACCAGAACCAATTCTTTGAATAATCTAAAACGAAGAACTAAATGAAACATACACGCGCCTATTTATTAAGCCTGGCAGAAGAGATCACATGATTGTACAAATGTGGAATAAAATATTTTTAGGATATAAATGTGAAACAGAGTATGAAATGATTATCCAGAAATCCTTTCCTTTTTACCTTCTTTAGGGAGCAGATCGGGCAGAGTTTACGTCAGACGTGGGCGTCGTCAAATGAGATTGGCCTGTTGGCTCGATAGAAAATGAGAAACACACAAGTCTTCTACGCATCGTGAGGGACGAGTTAAGAGTTATTCTTCCCACGTTATGCCACAACTTCCATTTTCACTTGAAGAAAACCGAATTTCCTTCACCGCTGACGCTGAAAATATTAACTACTGATTACGATTCTGTGGCATAAAACGGGTAAATAATTATAAATATATTAATATTTTTAAAATAATTCAATTTTATTGTGATTTCTTAAGAAAATTTTATGAATAATTAAATTTCTGCACATTTTTTGGATTAAAAACGCTTAATTTCTTTTTGCTTTAAAAAACGATGAAAGAATGTAGTTTGAATTAGGTAATATGACTAAGCTATTTTACGACATTTAACATATCGAAAAATCGTGATTGCATATCTTTTAAGCACCTCATTGTTTATAATTGTTAATATATTTAAATTAATTTATATATACTAAATTAATTTATTTTACGATTTATTTACAGAATAATATCTAGTAACTTAAAAAGATAAAATGGAAATTCTTTATTATGTAGTTACAAAAGGTAATGATATCGGGCAATGTATTTATTATTTTATCATAAACCCTTGTTTTGCACTTCTAAAATATCTTTCTTTGCTCAGTTATGTATTACTTGGTAGAAAATTTTTATCTTGAAAGACTTCTTTTTTAGAGTTAAAAGGTTTTGATGTAGAAATTTACACTAGTAACTAACACTAACACTAGATGTAGATTTTTAACTTATCAGAAACAATATACTGAATTCTGTACAACATATTTTACTTTATAAAGCTACAAATTAATTTTTCACATTCATTGATAAATTTAGGACGAGTTAACTCAAACTGTGTAAGCTAAAGAAACGTTTTCTGGATTGATTTCATTGCACTCATTAAAAATAATTAAATTTGCATAAAATATTTATGTTATTGAAATTTCCATAGAAATTTAAACTAATTAAAAATGAAAAATTAAAGAAAAACTACCAAACATAATTGTTTCATGTAAAATAATTTTTCATATATTTACTTATCAAAGATAATTTTTCTGTTTGTTTTTGAAAGAGAAAAAGATCCTCAATTTTTATCAAAATAAACTTTCTCATAAAGAATTGAACTTAATTTGTATCAGAATACTTATTTGACATACTACTCGCATTGTAATCCTAGAAATGATTTTACACCTTGACATCAGTAAACGGCCCTTATGTTTAAAAATCTGAAAATTTCAGCATCATTCTTTAAGAACAAAATATAGCACGAAAAATTGCTTAATTTAGACTTTATCCAAAAATTTAGTTTATATATGAAGGTTTTAGTTTATATATTATAACCAATGCCTTATTTCAAATATTACAAAATGTAAAACAAAACCATGGTTTCAGTAGAATTTTTATACCCAAGAATGCGCTTTGAAGATAGTGTCTAAAATTAGGTAGAAGCTTAAAAAGACACGACGAAAATATATGATAAATCAGCATTGCAGATATATAATAGTAAGGCGATTTAATATTATGTTGAGTGTATGGCAAAACTTTGACTATTTCTATAGTGCCAGTGATTATTACTGACTGACTCCTTAAAGTGTAATATTGCAGCTTACATCTTCTATAATCGAATAAATAAGAATATGGTTTCTAGTTCTAATCGAGCATTTAAGAAATTGTGCGATTGACTGCTTCGTTAAAATAATGCTTATGTGATATAATTATTTCAAACATTTGATGTTTACGATTTATTTAATTTTACTTGTTGAATACATGCAACCGAAACAAACCTTTAGAATTCAGAAATGTGATATGCGAAAACTACTATATACTCTTTTCTTTAGGTAACTAATAGCACAAAATTCGAAGAAAAGCGAGAAACAAACAAATTATCTCGCTAAGTGGCCTTTCAAATTCATTCATAAAGAAGAGTCAGTGTCTTTTTCCCTCCCAATACATGTCTGTTCAGGTTAAAATTTAATACATAATGTGATAAATCAACTGTAATGTGAAGATGTTGATGCCTATTACATAAATGGGATGAGGGTTTGTTTTTTGTCCTTTTAAATAATTATAGTCTCCAAATTTTGTAAACATGGACAAAATGTTAAGGGGATAATCGTATTAGGATTAATACTAGTATAAGGAATAGCTGTTTTCCTAAGATACGTTATACGAGAGCAATAGTGCATTTTTGAATTAAAGTAGTTAACTGAATATTTAAATTGAATATTTTCATAAGGTCCTGAACATAGTTTACACTGAATTAGCAAATCACTTCTCTACTCTGTTACTGGCGTTATATAAATTAGATAAGCTCAAAGACTAAGGTATGTAATGTTTATGTGTAAATTTTAAAAATGCCGAAAATACTCTTTGTTCTTACTCTTACGATGTTGAACTTTTAAAGACATGGAAGTGTGGATTTCAAAAAATGAATTCCTAAAACTTAGGTAAAAGAACTGCTTTCTGATCTTTCTAGTGGCAGACACGGTGAATTAATAAAAGAATTCATTGAGTATCATAATATTATGAAATGGGAGATGTGAGTGCGTATAACAGTACTACATTTTGTAGTTTTGCGACACTAGTGACATTACTACAATCGATTTCTCTTTTTCGACTTAAAGAAACTTTGAGTCAAATGGGTTTAGTTTACTGAAAGCTACATATAATTCGTTTTAAAAACCTTTAAACGCATGTTCAAATAATATACTAAACTTGTTCAGAGTGGTAAAATAGTATAGTCTTTTTCATATGACAGGATGTCATCTGTCAGTTAATATTTATATAGGTCATTAAAATTTGTATTCTTTGCTAATAAATACAGAATGGAACTTGTTTACATCCAGGCATATTGTTAGATAGTCCAAATGAAAAGAAATCTATAATTTTTAAACTACTATAAGAGGCCAAAAGACCCTTGCGGGTGAACAATTAGATTGCGAACAGATTATATCAGTAACTTAACTTTTGAATAAGATGTATCCAACAATTTTAAAGTACTGTTATTTCTAATTATTAACATTCCATCATATATCTTGTTTTGAAAAATATTTCGCATGGTGCAACAAATTTTTAATTTTGCATTTACTTGTTTTTTAATATTTTATTATACTTCGATAGAGATCGAATGTTTTTGAGACAAAGCATTGAAATAAAAAATCGGAAGAGAATTTGAGTGCAGTTAACGAGTTCGGGAAACTAGTTGACACCAGTGAAAGTTTTATCCCATAAAGAATATATTTTAGACTGCAGTCTAACTGTTCTGAAAATAAGATTACTTGCAATACAGGAAAACAAATTAGATTAACAATGAAATAAAAAAACAGTCCGCATCTGAATTACAACTTCGCTTCGTTGCTGATTTTATTAAAGCTTTGACGTTTTATTTTGTAAATTCTTTCATATTTAAAGCGTGACTTTCTTTGTGTAAAATCTTGCTAATTATTAAAAAATGAAAAGTGGTGTAATTAAATTGCACCAAAATTAATCACGAATAGCAATTAAATTTAATTATATTTCCGTCAAGATCATTTGTTAAAGTAACGAAGAAGTTCGGAAAATTAAGAAAATATAGAAACACTTAAAAACCTAAAATGACGTTTCAAACATTTTAATGAACGTTTCAAACTTTTTTTCTGATTTATTTCAAGCTTTCAAAACAATAAATGTAGTTAAATTAAGAATTTAGTGTTTATTAAAATCGTCATACTGAATTATGTCTTTAAATAAAAATGTTATAATAAATGAAAACTAAATGATATAAAAGAGGCGTTGGAAAAAGATCGAATTATACTTCGTTATCGGAAGTTTTACTGTTAAAATACGCAGCATATTTAAAGCTTTATTACTTCTTGGCATCATCAAGTTTTCTCCAGGTTTAAAAATGCGGATTATGCAGAAATAAAATGGATTGTCGTAGTATTATTTCTTTATAGAGTAATTTTAAAAGAGTCTGTTATATACTATCATCTACTGAAAATGCATTTAGCAGTTTCATTGTGCAAGTGACTACTTCTAGATAAACATACTTAAAGCTTACAGTAATGTGGATTGTCCATATAATAAAAGTTCATTTACTTAAAGTAATACAAAGTGGAGAATCAGAAAATTTATAATAAGGCCCGTTGATTATTTAGATTTAGAACAAAGTAATTGGTAATATGTATATATATTTTCTGTTTTACCTGCATTTTATTGAGATGTAGTCACCAAAAGAAATCATAGTCTCCTTTTATCAGAAAACAGATTTCTGCTCTGTATTTATAAAAGTGTTTTTACATGTATAATTTCTTGCAATTTTTTATAAAATTAACTTTAGCATTTAATATTCCAACCTATAATTTACAGCTAAATTTGTGGAACCTTGAAATCTGGTAAGCGAATAATCGCTTTAGTTCCGTAGACAGAGAACAGATACTTAGGAAGGGTTAATTACCGTTTATTGCTCAAAATAAAGTTAACAGACGGTCCTAGGACATACAGAAAAGCCTCTATTTGGGCTTGAACTCAAGAATGCTAAGAAATAAAACTTAACTAAACTTATCTAAAGAGATATACCCGAAGCTGTCACAATTCTACAGGAGTTTGCCCCTTAACGCTAACTAAACAGCGAAGCTATCAAGGACCTGAAATACTGAAATACAGCCTAGCGTAGAAATAGCTTAGAAAGAGTGTAGCCTAAAAGGCAAACGCGCGCTGGTCAGAAACTCTGGCTCTCTAACGAAGTCAGTAGAACTTTAACTTTAAACTCTTCCTTCATTTGCATTTACCGCGATTCTGAAAACACATTCTGCAAGGAAATTGTAAGCTGAAATTAAGGAAGATAGGAAAGTAGCTTTAACTAAAAATTAACTGTTAAAAATTTAGGATAAACCTTACAAGCACTTATATTAAATATGGATATGATTTAGAGATATATATTGATATGGATGTAGACCATGGGATTTTCTGAAGCAGACTGGCAATCTTAATTAGCGTCTTTTAAAGTTTTACATTAATTAAACATCAGAACGAGATTTCTGATAAACTGGACAATCTGAAACTGTAAATATATAAACGATTTCCGTAAATTTGTTTAAGCGCAAAAATGTAATAGATAATATTTTATTTTTAATCCAAATCTTATACATGCCACTATCTTACACAGTTAAAAAAGAAATATAAAAAATAAATAATTAAAATGCA